ACGTTAAGACGACCGCGTGCGTGTCGGTGTTCTTTCTCTCTCTCTCTCTCTCTCTCGAGATTTCCAAGAAATCGGCTCGAGGTCGTGCGTCAAATGGAAGAACTTACAGTCGTTCGCATTCCGGAGGTATACCTGGTAGGCGTCTTAGGCGCGTCGGTTACGGGAAATGAGGGTAACGGCGAGCGAGCGAACACGGTGGCGGTGTTGCGCGGAGCCACGTGGAAATGTGACGCGCGCGGCAGAAACGTGCCGGATAAGAAACAGCAGCTTCAACGGTAACTGGATGAGACGAGGCGAAGACACGCGAATCGACGAGCCGACGATGTGATCGGTCACGGGGCGCATTCGCGTCTCGACTCATTTCTCGAGAACGTCGGAAAATAATCGATCGACGCCCGGCTTCGCAGACCCCTCATCACTCTCGCTCCTTCTCTTTCTGTTTTCTCTTTCTCCCTAAGGCCAGGAATTCGGTATTTTGCCTTTTAATTTTATTCTCGCTTTTAATTCCCTTCACTTCTACGAAGTGATCGATTGGTCGATTCATCGGATCCTTTCAATCTCACGCATTTCGAATGATAAATAACATATAATCCAATAATACTACACGATCCGATAAGAAAGAATAAATAATAATTTCTAATACTTCAGTGGGCCAATTTATCGATATTCTTCAACGGGAAGGCACAGGTAGAAAGCGTCGGAAAACTGCGCTGGATTCAGTTAGCTTTCGCCGGTGGCGATACTCGAATTAGGAAGTTCGATGTCACGCGTGACTGGTTTGCAGGACGGTTAACGGACGGATCCGTGCTCGGCTACCACGCACGACGAAGTCTATTTGTTATGTCATTCACGAGCCCGAGCGCACGCACAAAGAGTCGTATTCTGGACGCACGGCGAACGCTAAATATATGCCTTTCCGATTCTCCAGCTGAACTCACGTTACACGTGACACTTGCAACCCGCTGATTTTATTTAGAAAAGCTTTATTTTTAGAAGAAGTGGGAAGCGGGGTCAAACGGACTTCTTCACACTGAAAAGCGTCCGGAACACGGGGTTTTCGAGAACGCGGTTTATACACTCGTGTGAATACTTTTTTGACATGTCAAGTAACGCTTCCAATTAATCTCCTTCGTCGTCCCACTGAGTTTGCGAGAGGTCCAGTAATTTCCTTCACACGCCTTCACTTGAATATCTATAAATATTTTTATGCCGATGCGAAAACTTGTTCTCCTCAGGCCTCGTCAGAAGGCGACCGAATATTGAGACTTCGCCTCAGGCGCAAAACGGCGCACGAGACTCGCGGCTGTTGTGTTTTTTTTAAGCGTAAGGTCACTTACTAGGAGAAGCCGTAACGTTGGAGATAAGAAGACGGAAGAAATTGGAGCTGCCGGGAGGAACGAGAGAGAGAGAGAATGAGGACTCCGGTAAAGCGGCGAGAAGCGGCGTTTGCGAAGACGCGGAGGAATCTTCCTCTCCCGGACGGACGGCTGACGACGGACAGCGGAGGGATGGCCACCTCGCGCTAAGAAAAGCGCAAGGCCCCGGTCGCAGATCATGCGAGGGAAGACCCTTTCGGAAGGGCCCGTGAAATTCTTTCGGAGTACTGCGAGCCCAGAGGTCTGTTCGTTTTCGCTGCACCGCCGAACTAGTGCAATAAGTTGAAGTGAGAAAACATATACTTGTCTCTCTTCAACTTATTGCAGTAGTTCAGCGGTGCAGCGAAAACGAACAGACCTGCCAAACGAGCAGTCGCCAGATGCCGCCTCAGAAGGAACTGGAATAAGTTAAGTGTCGAATCCAAGACGTGATCTAGAAGAGCCAATAGGATACATCGATCGGCGCGACAGATCCTTGCATCGGCTGCTTCCTGCGCTAATTGACGAGTCATAATGTTATGTTAATATACGTTTGTCATTGTGCGGCCCGACGGCGAGCGTATCGGACGTCCTAAAAGCGAGCAAACATTGTCGAAGAAGCTGCCGGAGAAGCGGGACGAATTCCTGAGGAGGAGAGGTGAGGAGTTTTTGGTAGCGAATGGGTGAGCGAAAAAATCCGTAGAGTCGCGGGTGGAATATAGTAGAGTTGCGTAATAATTCCGAGTCAGTTGCCGTCGGTTCTCGGCGACATCGGCGCGAGTAGGAAACCGGGAATTGGGGACTCGCTTAGGGCCCTGAAGGTCGCGCGAGATTTCCACGTCGCAGTCGACGAAGACCGTGCTCGAGAGAGTCCCGAACTTAGGAATCCTGGGGAGTCGAGACTCGGGTCGCCTTCTCTAATCGCCGGTCGCACAGTCCTGGGATCATTCTATTATTCGCCAGCGAGCTGAATAATTCGGATTCCTGTGCATGAACTTTCGGAATCGACGTTACGAACTGCCGGAGAATTCCGGCCGGCGCCCATCGGAATCCCGAGATCCGCGTAATGAAACCGGGCGAGAGAGCGTTTCTTTTTTGTCAGCACGACGCGCGTTATTGCAGTTTGCAATCGGACCGCTTAGGTCAGCCGTTAGAAAAAGCGCGGAACATCCCGGGCGAGGATCTCTCATCTTCGATCGCGTTACGGGATCTCCCGGTGTGACCGAGGCTCGTCACACAACGCAATAATATTCGGATGTCAATGTTGAATATGCCAAAGACAACACATTGAAACTATGTAACGTAGATCGCAAAATATCTACAAAGACGTCAGCAACGCAGATGGAAGAAATACCAAAGTTTCGAGTGTGAATTCGAAAGATTCGTCGCAATAATTTTTCTCGTTTCTAATAATTTCAGGTATAACGGAAGATTTATCGTATCGATTTTCACAATTTGATGTAGCGATTTTCACAAGAGCTTACGATCGGAATTGTGACTTCACGCGTATCGTAAGACGATCGTGCAGAATTATCGACGATTTTTCATCAATCTTACGGCTAGCGGAAAAGCTGTCTGTAAATCATAAGTGTTATGGAAAATCCATCAGTGACTGTCGAGAAATGTGAAGTGAAAAATGTTTGATCACAGCGTAAAACTTAATCGGTACATACATCGTGCTTAATTAAAATAATCGGAGCATCCAAATCTGCGGATAAGTCTATGATCTTTTTTTACGCGCAGTCACGCGCAATTCTCAAGTGCCGGGTTATGTACATCTGAAATTAGTCACTCATCGTAACCATGAACACGCAACTATGAGCGGTACACACATACAGTCAGTCACAGGACGGTTGTAGCATTCTTTTTCCTCGGTGAATTTCGTAACGCTCCTCGTGTCGAATAAGAAAACATACCTCCTGAAAACTACTGGAAAACGAATTCTTTTATTGAGCGCGGTATACGTTCCGAAGCTTATAGAAAAAGCGTGACAAGCGTGCCTATGACTGACTGACTGTATCGATCACGTTATTTCCACCTGAGGCCGAAACGTGAAAAGTAAAAATTCCCGGCGTTTCCACATTAGAAAATGCATACTTTTCACGCTAGAGGAGACGGATTTATGACCGGCCTTCGGTAGGTTCCGTAAAACTTATCTTCAGTTAGCGTAAACTCGCGAAAAGCGTAAATTTTCTTCTTCACGTTTCCGCCTTGGGTAAAAATCACCTGATGATTGATATCCGGATGCTAATGCAGAAGACATGCTAATGCCTATAACTCGAACATAGTGAGATCAGAAATTTCCGATCGGGCGCATCGTTTTTTCTTCGTTCGGTTGCTTCTTTTGCGCGTGCATCCGCGCTCATGTAGATGTTATCGCCGCGCTCGTCAATCAGGCCTGCCGGTAATTTCAGCCGCGATTCCGCGAGCAGGTCACACACACAGCCGCGGGATATCTCACGCGTGGATGCGTGCGGGTGTATGTGCGTGTGTTACATCGAAAGTGAGTTGCGATTGAAGCGAGCTTAATTAACGACCGATCCCCGCCGGCGCCGCCGCGATCTCTCCTCGAGTATCCTTGATTTCTCTCTTCGCGCGCGCCTCCGCGACACTTCGCAGATAAACACGTAACTCGTGAAAGAAGCAAGCAGTTCTGCGACGCCGATGACGCGCGATAACACCGGAAGAATTATCACGTCGATTTATCACGCTACTCCCATTTTCTCTCCTTCTCCTTTTCTCCGTGTTTACCCGGTCGTTTCATCACGTCTCACTTTCCTTCGAGATCAGCGCGACTAGATGGGCAGAAACGCGGCGGCGGTTCGTGGGAAAGATAAATTAGCGAGAGCAGAATCGGACGGATCGGTGAATGGACGTTAATCGTGAGCCCCACCGATCGTTGGAATTTTTCGCGTTAAATTCTTAATATACCCGTGCGTGTGTATTCAATATATTGTGTTATGTCGATACTCGACTTGGGTGAGTGTCGAAATAACGCGTTTTACGCCTCGATGTCGATTAATTTATTAATTCTGCGTTAATTTTGGGCATGACAGTTATTTTCCAACATATTCATCTTGTGTTAAATTAACACGAACAATTTCAGCGGACCCTTTGGGATACGTGAAATGTGTTAAACGCGAAATTTGTCTTACCGTCTATCTGCCAGAATGCGCGGCACATTAAGCAGGCGGTCGGTGAAATCGGGTAGATTAGCGGTCGAGCGAATCGACAAATGACGTGAGCTCCGCTGAATATCTCGCGCGCTTAATTAATTCTTTAATCGTACACGACGCTGTGTCTCGCGAGGGATCTGCCGGAGACACGTAACGCGACACATAAATGCGGGAATCAGTGGAAAAAGCGGATTAATTAATTGGCAGATAAGATCGGGCGGGTCGATGAATGAGTGAGGTTAATCGTGAACTCGGAATATTTATCGCCGATTAACGCTGCGTCTCGCAAGAAGAAGAATCTATTTACCGAGGACACGTAACGCGGCACATCGGCGAGGCGATCGATAGAACAAATAAATTAGCGAATAGAGTCGGACGGGTACACGATGAGTACGGATACGTTAATCGTCCAACACTTATCGAGCTGCAATTTAATTAATTGCACGCGACGCCGAATCAATCCACTTACCGTCAGCATAACGCGACGTTCGCTCAGCGTCGGGATGAAATTTGTCGGAACACCACGGACAGAGGATATCGCTTCACGAATCTCTCCTCCGGGAGTCTGGATCTCTTCGTCGTCGTGAGGATCTCGAGAAAGCCAGGAAGCCGGATCGCTCGCACATTCAAGCACGCGCTCCACCTCGCTGCGCGCGATTATCGAGCACGTGCGCGCGATCGCACGATTCGCCGGGAAGTGGTCGGTGAGGGCATCGACGAGGACGAGGATGGTGGATTTTCGCGAAGCGCCTCCAGACTCCGCCGCTCGAGGAACCGTCGTCGCCGACGTCGGTGAGGGAGCCTTCACTCGTGGCACTTCTCACTCCCGGAAAACGGACCGCTCGGTCGAAAACTTCCGACGCCGCCGCGCGACGATTATTTTCGTTACGCGCGAATTCGAAATCCCCCCCCTCCCCGCTGCTTCGCGCTCCCAATCGCGTTGCGACCGCCCCCTTTCCGCCGCGAGTCTCTCGCGAGTCTCCGATCTTCCTCGTTCTTTTTCCTCGGTCGAGAAGCGGCGCGAGACAGATGAGGGCCGATGGGAAAGGAAGAGGGAGAAAGAGAGAAACGGGACGAAAAAGCGCAGGGAAAGCCGTCCGCCGGCAAGACGCGCGTGCTAACTGAATGTCGCCGCCGCGTTGAGCCGGCTCCCACGGCACCTGTCTCCCCCGTGCCCGCAGCGGTGCCGCCGGCTTCCTCTAGGTGGCGCTCACCCGCAACGTCAAACGGTGCCAAGTCTTTTTCGCCGGAGCGTCACGAGCTTCTCGTATTGTTTCTGTGGAATTTCAGTCGAATCAATCGAAATCTTCGATCTAAAAAAAACCTCTTTCTATGCGCATAAGTCACGTATGAAACATATATCTGAATAAAATTTAAGTGAAGACAAAAAAAAAAAAAATAAGAGAACGAAGAAGTTTTCCTCCTAAGCGGCCGGTTATGGTAACGGTGATAACGCGTTTTGATGGAAAATAAACCAACAAGATTATAAATCTCGAGAGAAGAGGAGACAATGGCGAAACATCGATGACTTTGTGCGTAGACATTGTATCCTTAAATCAATGGTATCTTCATATACATGTAAACGAAAATATTATGATATTTTTAGATTTTCGTAGTCTTGAATCGAGTATAAATGATGCATCAATACAAGTTCAAACGGATCGAGACTAAAAATCTTCGAAGAAGATTGTAGTATATCTATCATTGATAAGACGAACTTTGTTTTTCTGTGTAGCGCTTCTTCGGGATTTTGACCTTCGGCCCTCCGGGGTAAACAGGGACGTTTAAAGCCGGTCGTAAACGAGTCGGTGAAATTGTTGGGCATGACATTTCACTTTAACGGAAGCAGAAATCTGTCGCCAGCCGCGAGACGTTATATTTAATTTAGAACGCAGTCTGCGGTCTACCGGATAGATGGTCGCACGGAGAATTCGATCAGCGTGTCGACTCTCTCTCTCTCTCTCTCTAATGAGTCTATATATATTCAATTGAAAGGCGAATCAATCTGCCCATTTATTGATATCGCTGGTCGATATCGCACGTTAGCGTCATGACGTAGTAAGTTGAAGACAGAAGCGATAATTTCGATCGATATCGCGTGCGAGACTCATGAAGAGCCGTGGTTGCTACCGTCGCTCGCCGTCGTTGTTGTTCGAATTTCACAATTTCGCGTCTTCCATTCCACTAGTCTTCGCGGCTTCAGTAAGATATGATAAAATGCATGCATGCAGACGCAGACGCGAAGACATAAAAATGAGCGTCCCTCCCTCTGTGTGGCCTCCTGACAATTATTTAGCTGATTTTGGCACGGTGTTTTACCGACAACTCTCTCCTATATTAACCTATTAGCTGCCACGATCCCCATTTCGGGCTCAAAACAAAACATAATTTGAATATAATTATATTGTTACACAACTTTTTGTGCATATATATAACTTATCCGGCGAAAAATTAAAAAAAAAAAATTTGGCAGTTAATGGTTAATATTTAAAAATTAATAATATTAAAATCTTTAAAATCCTTGAAAGATTTTAAAAATAATATATTAATATATTATATTATATTAATAAAATATTTGGATAAATTTTGTGTGTTGTGTGTGTGTGTGTGTGTGTGTGTGATATACGCGTCTTTCGAAGAGTGTACCGATCGTTAAAATTATGTTGGTTTTTAAAAAATTATTCCTAAAATTGAAGTACATAAATCATTTATATTCCGATCGCACTGAGCACTTTCGCTTATATTTTACATTTAATTTTCAGATTTTTATTTGATTTAAACGCAGATACGGAAAAATTGAGTTAAAATTGAGCTTGACCGTAGTAACTAGAATCGACAAATTTAGAGAAAGAGAGAGAGAGAGAGAGATACAGAGAAAATAGAAGAATCTTTCTTTTTCGCAAGAAAATCGTCGCCTGCCAATATGCAACCGTCAACAACGTGTCGCGTCGAATATTTCGGTGATAGAAACGTACGAGCCGTATATCGCGCGATACGAATTGTTACGGTTGCAATATAGAAATTATTATTCTAATATAAACATGTATTAACTTAATCAGACAATTGGAAAAAACGAACAGTCATTTTTTCCTTAATATTTCCTGCCACTTTGCATTCGTTCTCACAATACATTGTACGTGGCAGCACCGACAGGAAGAGTTAAGGTCGCGATATCTGCTTCGATGTATCTTTTCACATCACGGGTAATTAAATTTGGTCAATTAAATTAACCGATGAAATTAAATGGATTTAAATTCCTCTCATTTTGATTGTATTCCCATATATTGTATGTATTCCTTTTTTTTCTTTTGGAGTAACCTGCAGCAATTTGTAAAGATTTAATCATTGTTGTTAAAACTGCGGGAGTAATTAATTAATATAGAATCGTATATGCAATTGAAAATGTTCGCACAACAGAAATAAATATATTTAAACTAGAGATAAAAGCTGATATTACGATTAAAGCTCTTAATAATTTTTTTTAATCATAGATTCCTCGACTTTTCACTCGTTCAGTAAATTAATTCCACTTCTAATTCTAATTGATTTAAATTAATTTAAAGCGACTCGTATATGTCATGCAGAGTCGCCGGAACTTTGACCGCGCGAACAATCCTCATTTCTTAACGACACCAATTCGAAACAATACCTTCACATCTCATAGTTTGGAAGATACTCGCTAGAAATGGAAAAATGTTTTCTCGACGTTTCAATCTCTAGACGTCGAGATAAACACGTTTGAAATATCGCATTCCCCGATGTTCCCTACGTTTTTCTAAAAAAATGTCGCAATTTTTTCCCCCATTTTCGGAAAAGTCGGAAAATGATTCGCATCAAGGATTACTCTGGGGACAAGACCTCGACAGGACATGCCATCATCGAACTCGTCGGCGGTGGTCTCTCGACGATGCAAACAATTACTTTCGTCCGCTCGCCGACGTGTCATATTTTGAACGCCCGGGTCTCAACCTCCTCGCTTATCGACTGGGCGCGGCTCGCGGCCGAGTGCTCTCCCGCGCCGTGAACCACGTGGGCGGGGCACGGCAGTAGTGGCGTCGCGGATCGATCGGGCCGGCCGGCGCTCTCCTGGTACGGCCACCGTCTTCGTCGCTTTTCCCGTCCGGTATTTCCGAACCCGGCGAAAATTCTCTCCGGCCGCTGCTCGAACACGCGCGCCTGGACGAACGCACGCACGCTTGCACGCGCGCATTCGTCCGCGAGCCAGGCGCCGATCGGCGAGACAGTGCGAGGACCTCGGGATCGCGGTCGGGCCGGGTGCATCATAACGCGATGCAGAAGCTGGCGATTTCCGGGGCTCCTCCGCGTCGCCGATCGTCGTCGTCGCTGGTGTCTCCTTCTCGAGAAGGCTTTTCGTTTCCTTTTCATCTATTTCCTTCTTCAGAGGCATTTCTCTCTCGTGCTTCCACCCCTTCCCCCTTCCTCCCCGGACATCGACGGGCTGCGTTCGTCCGTTTCGTCGTTCGCCAGGTTCGGACTTTTGCTGCGGTTTCCCGTCGTCCGCCGACGGCGAGTTGATAATGGACGTCACGCGCGACCACATTATCGCGGGTTTTGCTTATCAGATTATTACTTTCTTGCCGCGTTACGTGTTCCCTGAGGTCAACAGCGGCTGGTAAGGGTCCACCGCAGGTGGATCGGTCGCGTACGTGTTACGTGCACTGAGAGAAGGATTCTGCCCGAAATTTCGGCCCTATGTTAAACCTTGAATTCTACGACATATGGTGGGGCTAAGGTGGTAAAATACGGTTCAGTTTCAATTCTAATAACTCCTACTTTGACCCTGATGACGTTTTAAATGTCCGTTTTCGCTGTCTTAACTGTTAAAATTGTGAGAATATCTATTCTTCATTTTAAGACTAATTTTGTCCCGTGTTGAATCGAAGGCTTAAAAGCGAAGTTAAAATTGATTCGGACTCTTCTCAGCCTAAATTACGTATTGTGTTTACGGCAATCCGCGCGCGTGTAAGCGGTGAAACGTAAGCAGCAAGCGAACTGACCGACCACGGTCGTAGCGTTCGCGGACAGTCGGGAAAATAATCAACTGTGTTGGTCAATTAGCTTATCGCTCACGTTTCTCACTGCACACGCGGGCTTCGTGCGCATCTCGTGCGCATCTTGTCGCGGTTCGAATTCAGTCACTCGCGTCGACTTCCTGCTCAGAATTCTCGTTCGCGAATTTGTCGCGCAGGTCGCTCAAAGTGGATTTAAAAGAAGAAGAAGAAAGGGAAGGGGGGCGAGGAGGAGGTGGAGAAGGAGAAAGAAACGCGATCGCGAACCGGAAAGCGTCGCCTTGACGAGATTCCGCGAACCATCTTTCTCGTCTAGTTCAATATTGGCCGATGCACTCGCAATTTATGCGCAACAAATGTTTGACGTGGAGGAACGTGAAACCTCGTTATCACTTGGTCGCAACATTGCGCGCTTTGCCGACGACGTGGCGACGACGACGACGACTACTTTTTCGGCGCGGCCGGGCAAGATATGTGCACAAGTCAAACAGAGACGAAATACGGTGTCTCTATTGTCTCTTCGAAGACACGCCAAATCATCAGGTGTCGTGCCTCTTTGCGCTTCGCACGCTCTGCAACAGATTATCATTACGACACAGTATTTGCGGACGCGACACTCGGGGAAGTTCCCACTTAAGTAGAACGGAAAGTGACGATGACGTCGGAACGACGTTAAAATACCGTTAGAATGACCGAGGAAATGACTGTAAAAACTCATTTTCCGATTCTCATTTCCTCGACATTTTGACGCCGTCGTTTTCCGTTCCACTTCGGTCCCGATATCGACACTCTCAACATCACTTCGAACTTCGCCCTGCGAAGATAATACAGGGCGGTCCAAGAGTCGATTGCCATTTCGAGTCCCCCGGAGCTGCTGTGATCGGAGTCTGCAAGCAGAATTTTAAATATATACCATATAAAAGATTACTACATAAAATACTACACTGAGAGAAAGATATAATTATTTCCAGGGATATCCTTTTTTTTTCATTTCAACCGCAAAAACAATCGAGAGAACTAGTTTTTCAGTAAGTGTTACCTACGGTGTTAGTGACACACGTAATCAAACAAGTTTACGTGCATGTTGCTGCTACTATTTTTGCGGTTAAAATAAAGAAAAGGGCCGCTGTGCAGAAAAATAATTGTATTTTTCTTTCAGGGTACAACACATATTACATCGTGTAATTAACGAACGAAGCCTAAAGCGTGGAATTCTCTTTGCCGGAACTTACGGCCTGAATTTTATCGTAACGTCGAAAGAATCCCTACGATCCTTACGCTCTTTGATGTAGCGGAAAGATTTGTTGAGCCTCATTCGCAAAAAGTGTGAGAAAAAGTGTTGAGAAAATATTGCGCTGTCACCCGCGACACACGATAAAGAGCAAACTTATATCTTGACACGCACGATTCTTCAGTTATCTAACACGTTAACGTGCAGGAAATATTAATTGCACTTAAAATCACAACTCAGAAGAATCAAAAGAAGCAAGATATAAAATTTACGACTTTACGATAATTTCGTTTAATTCGTAACTCGGGACTGATTCACGAACGGAGTCTCCTTGTCGAATATTTACTTATCTATTAATATTAATTTTGATATCTTTATTTAGTGTCCTCAAATATTTTTTTCTCTCGGTGTGCCATTTCGACGCATGCGGGACGCGCAACAAAACTCTGCGACCGCTCGCTCGACTCGCGCTCCACCCTCTTTTTTTTTAGAAAAAAGCCGACCGCTACCGGAAGAAATTAAAATTAGATATATGGGAACGGAGATTCGCGGAATCGCGAAAGATTCATCTCGCATAAGAAATTTACGTTCTCAGCCGATATTTTTCTCCACCGATGGTTTCTTCTCCGCGCCGGTGGGCGAGGAGGCCGTGGAACGGCGACATTCGTTGCCCCGCGAACCAAATTATAATGTTGGCCGGCGCAAAGGAGTCCGCTGATCGTCACTCGTAAACGTGCCGTTAACTACTTCGCGAAACTACGGTATCGCGTGCGATTTTCGTTTTCGTCGAACTGCGAAACGACGGTGAATACGGGAAGACGCGATTCGTCGCAGCTCGGAGGAAGGGATTCATTCGAAAGTCCGCGCGCTCGCATACTGCGGCGGCGTTCTTCGCGCACGCGCGCCTTGAATATTCCATTCCGAAATCGCGGACTCCTCGCCATACTCGAGCCGTTACTTCGCTCTGATAATAATTCGTGCGTCTTCTGAGGGAGAGAAAATGTCTGAGAAACGGAAAATAAAATTTACGACTCGCGATAATTTTAATTCGTAACTCGAAACTGATTCACGAACAGCTCAGTCGAATATCTATTTATTTATTATTATTAATATATTAATTTTGATATTTATTTGGTTTTTTTTTATTTTTCTCTCTCAGCCGTCCGTGCAATATTTCGCGTTATTGTAAGCCAACGTTATCTGAATCAAGTGCGAATTAATTGGAAATACTTTTTTCCGAAAGAAATTTCATTTGTTAAATGTACAGTGTGTAAAATGGTGACAATTATAAATTCTTGTGATCACTGGAGTATAGAATGGTCATAAATATTCAATATAATAATTTTATTTGCATGATAATCCTTTTCATATATTCAGTTTCGTATGTTCAGAATTGGGTAATCGGGAGTGTCGAGAAAGTTGAGTAATCACAGGAGAAGCCTTGAGTTGTCCGGATATTGATTGATTCACTGATACGCTTGACAATATCTTTATCAGATTGGTGACGCAAAAGATTTGTCATTTTTCTAGTAAATCCTCGGTAGAAAGTTCGGTTATAGCAAGAGAAAAAGAGGAAATTCTTCTCGTTAAATGTCTAAGAAAATACCACTGTTATTCATTTTATTTATAAAAATTATTAATCATCCTTCGAAACAGGACAATCTCGTGCTCTATTTTATTGGATAACATTTGATAAATATACGACAAATCTGTTGTACCAATAACTTAAAATTATTATTGAAGTAATCCAAAAACTCTTTTCTTCGCATCCAACATTCATTAAAACTAATAAACCACTGTATTGATTAACGGGCTTGTAACAAGTTCAACGTTTTTAATTAGTTGAATTCAGAAAAGTTTCAGGGTGTCCGATTTTTTTCGAACTCGAGCTTAATTAGAAAATACCGTTATATGATAACCGTTCGAGTCGAGATAACCAATCAGTTCGCTTAATTACAATAGTCTGAAAAATACGATTAACCGTTGATCGTTAACTAAAACAATCCAATTGAGAATTGGAAGTGTAACTTTCAACTGAATTATAATTCTCGATCGGAAAAATTCAATTGAGAAATCGCACCTCAATTTCCAATATTGAGATTAAATTAAAATTTTAATTCTGAATTTAAAAAAATCCAATTGAGAATTAGTCTTTTAATTCATAATTGGAAAATTTGGCTTTCGGCTAAAATTTTAATTCTTAAATGAAAAATCCAGATTTAAAAATTAAAATTTCTACTTTCAATTGAATTTTCACAATTAAAAATTGAAATTTTAATTCTTGATTAAAATGCAACCAAGAATTCGATTAAAGAATTGCAATTCTACTCCACACAGTGCCACTTCAATTATTTACAATAACATTACGACGACTGTTATAACGTGACTCGAAGGTGGATTTGCCAAGAAAAGAGTAAGGTGAAAAGAAAAGAGGAGTGGAGATGACAACGTCGTCGTCGTATATGCACAATAAATCTTATAGATGATCCAATCTATTTATCTTCCTCTACACAGTTTAAAAAATCGAACGGTTAACTGGTTAATCGAACTTTCTCGGTTATTCAAATATTGTGATCAACCATATTGAGTGATTAATTAGTTCGATCGGTTATCCGATTATTCGGATTTTGTTGAAAGAACGGACATACGGTTTTAAGTTATACGGTTTTAAATCGGTTATTCGGATGTAACATTAATCCGACAAAATCACTTGGCGTAATTTTTATACTCCAGCTTTCAACTTATCATACGGATCGGATTGTTCAATATCGTCTGTATAATATCTATATACTTTTCCAAATTATGTGATCTTAAATACCAAGCTATTGAGACGTTGACTTTATCGACGGCCTGCGAAACTGCTCGTTGCTCGCGAAAGTCGAATATATTCGGCCGTAGGGTATCCATGTAGAAACACGGCTCCAAAACGAAAGAAGGGTCCTCATTAATCACCATCGCTTATCTTTTGTAAGCTCGCTTCTCAAATTTATCTCATATACCTTTTAAGTTCCTTATAGTGCATAATTTAGGTGAAACTAGCCGTGTGGCCTTGTTTCTGTCACCGAGGCTCCCGTGACTGACACGTGAATATTAACGTTTCATGCGGTCGAATCTGCGTGCTGTAGAGCGAAAAGGTTAAACATCTCAGCGACGTTCCAGCGATTTCAGCTCGCAACATAGCGGAGTCCCCGGTAGATTTATTCGGGAACTCGCGGCGGACCTGCCTGCAGAAACCGCAGGATGCGATAAAATCTACTAAATCCAAAGAAATCTTTTTCTCAGTGCAACTGATGAGCTGTCGATCGATTCAACGATCGCGAGTTTATTGGCGACTGTGGACCAACGTAAGATGCAGTAATTCGTTCGGTGGACGCGGTTACTCGTTTAAACGAGGGTGACCGCCGACTTCATCGAAGCAACTGCCTCTTTTTTTTTTTCTGAAAACAGTAACGAGCTTACGGTACTGCTGCACAGCGAAACTCCGTTCGACTCGTATGTCGAACAATGTGGAGCAGGCGGTTGATACGAAGGAAGACCAGTAGAAAAGCGATTTTCTTTTTCCACGAGCGGTTTATCGTCGCATTAGTCGTGTCGTCCTCTTCCTCCTCATCGTCGTCGTCGTAAATTTGACGATCGCTCCGAATATCCGCGACTCCTTTAACCGGCATTAACTAGGTCGAGCAGAGCGATTAACAATTTTACGAGGTCATCGAAAAAGCATTCCGCGTTCCTCGTCTCAACAGCCATACAGAGTATCGAGGTTTGCACAGTGCGACAAGTACAACACACACACACATACACACTTCTCTCGCGAGAGGTAAAACCAGCAAAAAGCAAAAAAGTCCTCACTTTCTGTGTGACGAGGGCAGAGGCGGGGTGTCGGTATTCCCGCCGAAAAGGGTAAACTCGTCGTGCGTGTGCGGTCCCGCTTGCTCAATTTTCGATTCATGCCGCGAGTCTGTCTCGTTATATTTACGTAATGATAACGCGAATTAAAACGGATGGGAAGAGATACAAGAGAGAGAGAGAGAGAGAGAGAGAGAGAGAGAGAGAGAGAGAGAGAGAACGTAACGCAATGTAACGCGAGCGATTTGCATGCTGCACGCGCGACCACAGTATTTCTAAGTGAGAAAAAGAGAGAGAGAGAGAGAGAGAGAGACCGCGGTTTGTCAATCGCCGGTATTGTCAGATAGTTGTTGACTGTATATAATTGAGAGCATGGGAAAATCAAACGAATGCGAATGGACTGTATACAATCGAGAGCATGGGAAAATCGAGCGAATGTGAATAGACGGATGACAATCGATTTTGAAAAAGCAGTAGAGCATTTTACTTTCGGTTTTTGTGCCGCCGCCGCCGCCGTCGTTGCGCGACATTTCCTCTCTCCCCCATCGCGAGAATAACCACCGCCGCTGGCTTTTCAGGACGACCGGTGGGACGAGCACACGGTGATGGTACAAGAAGACGGGGGCTTTCGTTGAAGGAGGCTTTACGCCGGGGCGGTCACGAAGCCAATAAGTGGGACATACGCTCCAGCATCTCCGTATTTCGTAGTGAACTCGCCGTCAGGACGGACCATCCATCCGCGCACGGCATCAGGAGCACCGTCGTCCGCGAATACCGCTCTGAGCCTCCCGTGTCGTCGACGTCGTCGTCATCGTTGTCCTCGCCTGTCATCGTCCTTCGGCAACAGCAAGTTCCTCCCTTCGCACGATCCTGAGGCAGACCTTCCGATTTTGGAACTCTCCACGTGTTCCTCCGTCAACGGACCGTATCGTAAGTCTCATCTCTCTCTCTCTCTCTCTCTCTCTCTCTCTCCTTTTCGTCCGCCGGGAAAAGAAATCTCACTTCCCGCGACCGAATATACACAGAGTTGAAAAGATTTTGTGCGGTCCAGCCGGAATTTCCACGTTACTTCAACGTGAGAAATATGTTAAGAAGTATATAAATATATACGTTAAATTAATTTTGTTGATATAACACAAAAATTTGGAGGGAGGGGGGACCGTGGCACACACAGAAAATTTTCACTTTGTCGGGATCGGATGGAAAGTCAGTGGCGAGAAAAGATGATATCTTCGCGATAGAGAACATTCGTGCGTGCACTAAAGAACATTCAGAACGCTGAGAACATTCAGCCGCGTTAAAACTCGGTCGGCACGATTGGGGCAATTGACCATCTAGGAAACTCTTGCACGGAGAAAAAGTTGTGGAAAAACTCGCCACGAAATTTTGCAACACCGGACCCGTATCGGAATTATGACTGAAATTGTCACGTGTGTGGCAATCTTTAGTGACACATTTCGTTGTACGCATCGCTAAAGATTACAACACACGTGATAATTTCAGTTACAATTCCGGTTACATGGTCCAGCATTAGAAAATTTGTCCGGTAATTTTCACTGCGATATTTTCTCAGTGTACATCTTTTCTGTTCTTACAACCGGGTTTTCATTCGACCAACAAAAAAACAATAAAAATTCAATCACGCCGGCGAGGTTATTTTTTTTCCGTGTTGACGTCGATTCTTCTTGATTCGCTGTCGATTTCGCGTGACTAGTTTGATTCAATCGTCTTCAGTCTCGTACGTAAGAAGAAACATGTTTGTCATCTGCTCGGAACAACAGCATAAGCAAGTAAGGTCAAATTTGGAACAGCAGCATAAGCAAGTAGGATCAAAGAATACATGAAAGAAAAAGGCTCTTAATAGGTGTTAATAGAATTAACCAATAGCGTTGTTATTGAAATAAATCTTTTTCATTCAACGATAATATTATTTAATATATTAGTATATTAAATTATTATGATGTATTAATAACTGATAATTTAAACATCGCACATATTTCGATAACTCAAGCATTAGTTCCCGCAACATTGCTATTGAATGGAGAAGATTTACTCTGATTACAGTACTGCCGACCAATTCTATTGATACAACAGCACCTTTTTTCTGTGCTCAATCTTTTAGAAGACTTTAAGGCTCCGGAGTAATCGTTACGACTATTCTTATTTAATGACACAGAAGCGAGAAAACGCATGCCAAAATTTTTGGCATTATATATTTTCAAACTAAAAGATCCACAAAATGACTCTTGTGATCGATTCAGCGAACTTGTAAAATTGGACGAACACTTGTCTTTTACTTGAACAATCAATAAGTAGTCGTAAAATTAACATTAACAAAATCGTGAGGAAAAGGCTGGAAAATAAAATCCCGTGTCAAATTAATTCATTATTTTGTGGATATATCTTGTCATTTGAATGTATAACGCAAAAAATCTTGGAATGTATTTCTGATATTAAACATGGACATGGAGATTAAACATGAACAGTCGTAGCGGCTACTCCGGAGCCTTGAAAGAAAAAAATCCTTTTGAAAGTAAAATAGCGTCTTTTGAAAGATCTGCTCTCGTTCGGATAAGGCAAGACGACTTTTAAAAGACGCTATTCTTTTTCTTAAAAAATTCTTTTGCAAGTGAGATAGCGTCTTTTGAAAGACGCTTTGACTCTTATCCGAATAAACAGATTCCGGATTCCATTTCTCTTGTGAAACAGAAGAGGAGTTTCGTTGAATTTACTTGACGATTAACTTATAATAGAAGAATCGAATTTAGTTTGGAAGAGCCAGAGATTATATTACCTTCGACTAAAACGCGTTTGGTTTGTTTATTGTCAAGTGAATTCGGTCGAAATTTTTGTTCCCATGTATATTAAATGATATTCATACTTTTTGGATTATATCTGAAATTTCACGCTTTCTTCGTTTTATTATGCTTTTCACGAAAAACCGAGAGACTGCGAACACTTAATGTACTTAAGATATTTTCAAGAAATATTTTCAACCTTGTACGGCTGCATTATAAACATAACTTGCCCGAGTACAGGTTAAACATCACGTATGTTGAAATTCCGATCTGCCCCATTGTCACGTGCGTTGTCAAACAATTTTATCTCCTTTCGTTAAGAAGTTGATATATTACCGCACCTAATACCGCGCGATCGGCTCTCAGCGGCCGTTATTTTATTCTCATCGACGTCTTAAAAACATCTAAGAGACATTCTACTTTTTCAGACGTTATTTAGACATTTTTAGAATTTTCTGCTGCCTATTCTGCTGTCTGAGACGTAAATCTTCTTCGCTCAACAATAATATTATGAACGTATAATAATAATATATAATATTACAGTAATAATAACAATTTAATTGGCACTAAATTAAATAACAGTAATAAAGGGCGATAAGAGCCCATTGGTTCTAAATTTTATGTTACAAATAGCCCGCCTAAATTTTGGTGTTACTTCAACATTGGGAATATTTATGTAAAAGATCCGCAAATATGTTAAATTAACATATTCACCTTGGGTAAAACACTACTTTCCCAAATATTCACCGTGTTAATTAACACACAAAAATTTGGGTGGGCTTCGTTAAGTAACACACAATCTTCTACTGTGTGCATTTGAAAAATCGATTATATAACCGACAGAGTTACGGAACGATGAAACGAGAGAGTAGAGGATGCTCCAGTTACATTTATTTACCGTGTTCTTGGTAATTCAATCATCGGTTAGGCTTTCATGCAGTCAGCGAAAATCAACGCGGCAGTCGAGTGCCGCGTCGATTCCATCGCCGAATTATCGTCATTCGTCGTCCTCCGATGCTCGTGCGCGCCGGAATTCTCTTCTTCATTCCTTCGAACATCACAGGTTCGAACTGTCGAGTCTCCATACCGCCACGTTATCTTTCATTCGCGCGAAGTTCAGATGTGTACAACGGCCAGGACGTGAACACGTGCTCGGTTCGTTAACGACCCGCGAAATTTTCTTCCATTATAGTTTACGCAATACGCAAATTGCGATCGTTCGAAATCGTAGAATGCCGTTAAGCTGAGACCTTAACCGGCCGTCAAAGCCATATACTGACGAAATAAAAGAAGAAGAAGCAAAAGAGGAAGAAGATCTTTCATGCGGGTGTCTACTTATTGTACTGTGCGTGTACGTTTACGTCCGAGCAAACTCGAGGTGTGTAAAAACTTTCAAAGAGGTCACTTAAGAAGGTTGCCAAACGAAATGAATTTTAAGAGAATTTAACGGAACCTCACTATGTACGTGTTGAAATAATATCTAGCTGTTCGCGCAATTAGAGAAAGGCTTATTCTTCGAGAGCTGAGATATTTGCAACTCAAGTTGATACGTATTATATGCGTTCTTCGGAATTAGCGTGTTATTTTTAATATCTTTCAAATACAACAAAAATGGACTTAAATTAGATTTAGATTTAAATTCAATAAAAACGAGATCTTAATACGAAAAGTTACTATAATATTAAAGACTCATGTAATATTAATGCTTCATGCAGACATTATGCACAAATTACAAAACTGTAGGTCATTTTGTTTCGAAAGTACGGTGAAAAATTCACAATTCATGGTAATACTCGAGATACATATACATATTCAAACATTATTACACTTCTTTCTATTATCTGTGCATCTCTATCAAATCAACTGATACACAAATATAGCATTAATAAGTACGATAGCGAGCCGTGGAATATATTTGAAAGAACGCATGTGATATTAGCGCGTGACCTTATCGAACGAGCATAATTAAGGAAAGACTCGTTAACAATGTACACTTGATAGTGACTTCCGAGCACCGAGTACTTGTTACAATGCTGACTATCGTTACACGTTGCAGTTTCGTACGTTCCGCTGGCCGGCTCGCCGTGTACGGAACATAACGATCAGCTGTCGTATAATAAACCTGAGAAATCTCCTATTCGGGCACGCATCACGGCCAAGTGAATCGGCCAAGTTCAAGTCCGTGTCAACCGGTACACGCGAGATCACGCGATCGTTCGACGCGGCCAGTCCCGACGTGATCACGCTATGGCGATTTTTCGAAGAGGTATCACTGAGGAGAATGCGAAGGGAATTTTCTTCGAAGAATTTCCCCCGGCTGAAGATTCAAGCAGGGCGGACTTTCCAAGGCAAGCTTTTGACAGAGGAGGGGTAGCTGATCGTAGCTTTCAACGGCCGATTTGCCGCACGCTTTACATTAAATCCAAAATCTGTAGAAAACGGCTTCTCGTTCGTAGCATCGAAGTGCTCTATGCTGCTAACCGATTTATGATGCAGTAACCACAGCAGGCTTCTTTGACGCTACAAACGGGAAATCATTTCCCTTCTTTTCACTTCGGACTTGCGTAGAATTTCAATATCGACTCCCGGGAACATCAATCGCCATCGTTCTCGTGATGTTCTCGCGAGATACCGCGGATGTTACGTGCCGATCCCAAACGGAACGGACAACCACGATGACGTCGAAACGAAGTGACGAGAAAATGACCGAGGGACTCGCTTTCCGACCGTGCTTCGATTATTTCCTCATTGTCACTTTTGATCTTGTTATCGCGACTTTTTATTCCGCCCGATCCGTGGTAATCGTTCATTACGGGACGCGTCTTGAATTTTATCGTCAATCAGGAAAGAATTCCCTAATAATTCATACCGATTCGCCTCGTGCCTTATTATTTTCTTTGTTCTGTAATTACTGATCTACACGCGATCCATCAACGCATCATCATCATATGTAGAGGAGACTTTAAGATGCCGTTTGAAGTCGACGAAGCACACAATATTTATCCAACGGACTCAAGAAAATCTCCGAGCTCAACGTCGAAAGACGATTTCGACATCTGATCGGTATATTTGATTGATATTTTCGGAGTCACTGCCAAATCGGCCGCAGTTGCGAAAACTGCAACGTCAGTC